ACACTGTGCAGGTCTCCCATGTGGGTGCAGGAGCCCAAGCACTAGGGCCATCTTCCACTGCTTTCCCAGACACATTAGCAGAGAGCTGGATTGGAAGAGGAGCAGCAGGGACACGAACCGGCATCCATATAGGATGTCAGCATCTACTATGCCTCAGCGCCTGTCCCTAAGCTTATCTTTAAATTCCATTTTCTACAAATTTTTTACTCACTCCCTTCATAAATTTTTGAAGTACCCTCATATTAGAAATGAAGTTATAGGCCGGCACCGTGGCTCACTTGGTTAATCCTCTGCCTGCGGCACCGGCATCCCCTGTGGGCGCTGGGTTTTGTCCCGGTTGCTCCTCTTCCAGTCCAGCTCTCTGCTGTGGCCCGGGAGGGCAGCGGAGGATGGCCCAAGTGCTTGGGCCCCTGAACTTGCATGGGAGACCAGGAAGAAGCACTTGGCTCCTGGCTTCGGGTCAGCACAGTGCTGGCCGTGGCGGCCATTTGGGGAGTGAACCGGTGGAGGGAGGACCTTTCTTTCTGTCTCTCTCTCTCATGGTCTATGACTCTGTTAAAAAAAAAATTATGAACTTTTTTTTTTTTTTTTTTTTTGAGAGGTGGAGAACCACATAAAGGGCCCATGATGGTCCCAGCTGGAGCCAAAACCAGTGGCAGGAATGCAAACCAAGTCTCCCATTCCCATGTGTCATCACCACTGCCTTTCAGGGTCTGCATTAGCAGGAAGCCAGTAGCAAGAGCAAGCATGGCCTTGAACCCAAGTTACCCTATATGGGGCACTAGCATCTTAACCACTAGGCCAAATGACCTCTGCAAAATGGAATTTTACTTAAATTCTACCTCTTTGATTTTCAATTTATATTAAGTATATTACTTTCTTATAGATTGATTTATGTGTTCGAAACACTTACAGAGAGAGATGGAAGGACACACACACACACAGATATCTTCCATTCCCTGGTTCACTTCCCAAGTGGATGCAATGGTCAGGACTGACTCAGGCTGAAAGTGGGAGCCAGGTGCTTCATTCAGGTCTCCCATGTTGGTGGCAGGGGCTAAAGCACTTGAGCCATCTTCTGCCTTTTCTGGGCCATTAGGGAGCTGGATCGGAAGTGGAACAACCAGGATAGGAACTGGCACCCACATGGAATGCTGGCATCTCAGGCAGCAGTTTCATTCACCACACCACAACACCAGCCTGCCAGAGAATATTTTTTAACTGAAGATAGGGGCAGGCATTTGGCCTTGCTGTTAAGTTGTGCTTGGCATGCCCACATACCCTATCAGAGTGCCTGAGTTTGAGTCCTGTCTCTTCCTCTTCCAGCTTCCTGCTATTGCACACCCTGAGAGGCAGCAGGTGATGCTCATGAGGGTTTTGGGTCCCTGCCCTATGTGGGAGACTCACGTTGAGTTCCTGGCTCCTGGTGCAGCCCTTGCAGACATTTGGGAAGTGAACTATATAGGGAATGAACCAGTGGGTGCGCGCTCTCTGTTTCTGTTGTCTCTCTCAAATAAATAAATAATAAACCTCACAAATGAGGTGATTCTTAAAAGCATCTTTAAAAAAAGATCAGTGCTAGCAATTACAGGGATATTTTAACTGGGTAGAGAAGGTCAGTGACTTCAACAGTACGTATATTCTACCCTTAAGTAAACTCCCTTATAAAAACTTTATAAAATCATATACTATTTGACTTGAAAGAACTTTGAATAGGAAGCTGCACCCCAGAAACATTCATGATTAGCAGTCTTAATTAGTAGCTAACGTAGGACTTAGCTTCAGAATGTGGGCTTTTAATATAATTAATTGCAGGAGTTGTCATAACCAGACCAGAATGTGACTCATAATTGTTACTCATTAAAGTTTAAGCCAAGTTTTTTTTTTTTTTTTTTTTTTGACAGGCAGAGTGGATAGAGAGAGAGAGACAGAGAGAAAGGTCTTCCTTTTGCTGTTGGTTCACCCTCCAATGGCCGCTACGGCCGGCACACCGCGCTGATCCGAAGGCAGGAGCCAGGTGCTTCTCCTGGTCTCCCATGGGGTGTAGGGCCCAAGCACTTGGCCTATCCTCCACTGCCCTCCTGGGCCACAGCAGAGAGCTGGCCTGGAAGAGGGGCAACCGGGACAGAATCCGGCGCCCCGACCAGGACTAGAACCCGGTGTGCCAGCGCCGCAAGGCAGAGGATTAGCCTAGTGAGCCGCGGCGCCGGCCTACGCCAAGATTTTAATAGCAGTTATCAATACTTAACCTAGAATCTAGAGTACTGTGCAAATTAAGTTGTTTATATAATATATGAAAAACTTGGTTTTATTTTTTTTTATAAAGCAGGTAACTTTAGTATTGTTTGAAGATGATCTCCATAGAAGGAAGATCTGTGTTGAGTGTTCTGGTTTATTCTTGCCAAAATTTTTTTTCCTTTTTTTAAAGATTTATTTATTTATTTGAAAGAGTTACACAGAGAGAGGAGAGGCAGAGAGAGAAAGAGAGAGGGGTCTTCCATCTGATGGTTTACTCCCCAGATGGCCGCAAGGGCCAGAGAGCTGTGCTGATCCGAAGCCAGGAGCCAGGAGCTTCTTTCCAGGTCTCCCACGCGGGTGCAGGGGCCCAAGGACTTGGACCATCTTCTGTTGCTTTCCCAGGCCATAGCAGAGAGCTGGATCAGAAGAGGAGCAGCCAGGACTAGAACTGGCGCCTACATAGGATGGCGGTGCTTCAGGCCAGGGCGTTAACCCGCTGAGCCACAGCGCCAGCCCCAAAATTGTTTTTCTAAAGTACTCCCTAGTTGTGTGACTTAACAACACTGATGGTTGTTTACTAATGCACATTTTCTGGTCTTACATAAGTCTTTTTCCCCCTTACTTAGTTTCTATGTGACCTCAAGAAAATTTGTGATTATTCCCCATATTTTCCACCAGAAAATGTCAGATCTGTAGTACCAGTGTTACATGTAATATCTAAAATTCTGGGCATAACAAACGTGGAATTTATTTTTAATGTGGGTAACTATATCTCTTGACCTAGAAATCATACACACACACGCATGCACAAATCCCCCCCCCTTTTTTTACTAAAACTAAAGATGAATGATGATTTACATTTAAAGTTTGCTGAAATACCAGAAAACTCTACTAATCAGATTTATCTAGAACTAAACATTAATATAAGAAGCACTTAACTTGTGTCTATGTGGGTGCAAACTGTTAAAATCTTTACTTAGTATAGAGTTGATCTTCTGTATATAAAGATAATTGAAAATGAATCTTGGCCGGCGCCGCGGCTCAATAGGCTAATCCTCCACCTAGCGGCGCCGGCACACTGGGTTCTAGTCCCGGTCAGGGCACCAGATTCTTTCCCGGTTGCCCCTCTTCCAGGCCAGCTCTCTGCTGTGGCCCGGGAGGGTAGTGGAGGATGGCCCAAGTGCTTGGGCCCTGCACCCCATGGGAGACCAGGAGAAGCACCTGGCTCCTGCCTTCGGATCAGCGCGGTGTGCCGGCCGTAGCGGCCATTGGAGGGTGAACCAACAGCAAAAGGAAGACCTTTCTCTCTGTCTCTCTCACTATCCACTCTGCCTGTCAAAAAAAAAAAAAGAATCTTAATGAAGAATGGGATGGGAGAGGGAGTAGGAGAAGGGACGGTTTGGGGGTGGGAGGGCAGGTATGGGGGGAAAACTGCTATAATCCAAAAGTTGTGCTTATGAAATTTATATTTATTAAATAAAAGCTTTCTATCAAAAATAAATATTCTAGCACCAAAAAAAGCATACAAGCATGAAAAAAAGAAGCACTTAGTGTAGATATTTGATTATTTAAATAAGAGAATGCGTGAATACATGAAAAAAAATTTTACCTGCAGTCTTCCTTTTGTAAATAAATTATGTCTAATGGTTATTTTTTAAATTTATCTTATTTATTTGAAAGGCAGAGTTAGAAAGGGAGAGGCGGAGAGAGAGAGAGATCTTCCATATGCTAATTCATTCCCCAGGTGGTCACAGGCCAGGGCTGAGTCAGGCTGAATCCAGGAGTTCTCCTAGATCTCCCATGTGAGTGCAGGGGCCCAAATATTTGGGTCATCCTCCACTGCTTTCCCAAGCACATTAGCAGGGAGCTAAATCAAAAGTGGAGCCCATATAGGATGCAGGCACTGCAGGTGGCAGCCTAACATGTTTCTCCACAATGCTGGCCCAGTCTGATGGTTCTTAAATGTATACATATGTAATACCTTTAAAAAGAATTTGTCGTTATTTTGTCCTTAGGTACATAATGTATGTAGCAATGAATAGAATCCAAAATGATATTACATAAATCTTCCCTTTAAGTATTAGTTACTGTTGTTAAGTCTGTTTTTTTTTTAAGATTTATTTATTTGTGTGAAAATAAAGTTACAGAGAAAATAGAGTACAGAAAATAGAGCTACAAAAAATACAGAAAAAAAAAATAGAGTATAGAAAATAGAGCTACAGAGAGGCAGAGAAAGAGGACTTCCATCTGCTGGTTCACTCCCCAAATGGTTGCAGCAGCCGGCGTTGAGTTAATCCGAAGCCAGGAGCTTCTTCTGGGTCTCCCATGCAGATGCAGGGGCCCAAGCTTTTGGGCCATCTTCTACTGCTTTTCCAGGCCATAGCAGAGAGCTGGATCAGAAGTAGAATAGCTGGAACTCAACCAGCACCCATATGGGATGCTGGTGCCATGGGCAGAGGCTTAGCCCACTGTGCCACAGCGCCAGCCCCCATTGTTAAGTCTTAAATTCTGGTACCAGTCCAGCTAAATAAGCTGAGAAATCTTTTTTATGTCGTTTCACCTCTTTTATCTTTCATTCTCTTCTTGCAAAATAAGAGATGGTTTAAAAATATCAATTACAAAATTTGGAGGTTTTATACAATAGCAGATATTCATAGTTAGAAATCTTCAAGTTGTACTTCTTTTAGTTGAATATATGTTCCTTCATTTAAGATTTATACATTTTTATCTTGGCATACTTTTTTTTTTTGTCTTCTTCTAAGATCTCAGTGGTTCAATAGCATCCCCAGATGTCAAATTAAACCTTGGTGGAGATTTTATCAAAGAATCTACAGCCACTACATTTCTGAGACAAAGAGGGTATGGCTGGCTTTTGGAAGTTGAAGATGATGATCCTGAAGATAACAAGCCTCTCTTGTATGTAAAAATAATGTTTTTTAGAACTAGTCTGTGGAATTATTGTATTTGTTCATGTTATTTAATGACAGATATGGAAAATATTAACCATTTGGGTCAAAAGCTATAGCAATGTTCAATTTTACTAGTAATTTTTAAAACTGAAATAAGTTGTTAATCTATTGAATGGCAAAAATTAAAAGAATGATGATTCTGTATAAAACACTGTGTATATATACAGAGATATACTCCAAATTTCTGGGACTGTCAGCTATCTCAAGTAATCATGCAGTCTAAAAAAGCAGGTCTTTTAGGTGCTAACTATTAAAATTAAGATGCAAGTCCAGTTAAGATGTCCAGAAAGATTCCCACTCCAGAATTACTCCTATAGAAATTGCGAAGCTGGTGATGAGTATAAAACTATAGGTAGACTTTCACTGTCATAATTGTATTGAAAAATTCATTGTACTTGAAAAATTACCCATCATCTGGGGAAAAAAAATGCAAAGCAGTTAACAGTTTTGGAAAAAAGAACGTATAGCTTTATAAGATGAAGGCATTACCAAGTTAATTGTTATAATGATTATTGGTAGATTATGTGCTTAGACATCCTTTGTTAATATGCCATAATTCATCAAATCTAAGGTGCTATAGATAATAAAGTGAATTTACTTTACATATTAATGAAAAAAAAGTGCTTCAGGTAGCAGAAATTGGGAACATCAGAGTTTTACCTTCGTAAGTGTAAGGATGAGTAAGAAATGACACTTGGAAAGAAGTTTGCTATAGTTTGACACTGGGTGTGGGGTATTGGAAGAAAAAATTCCCCCTGAGAATGTAAACCTCAGGTTGGTTACATATAGTTGACAGTGTGAATTGTCAGTCTGGTCCCAAAAAGTCTCAAACAGGAAATTTTGTTTAAAGCTGTCTTAGATTGATGATAGTGCACCCCTAAGAGAATGATAGAAGGAAAGGCAGAAGTTAGAAGCACTGGGCTTCACTCCAGGCTAACAACAATTGTAAAACGCCAGTGATTATGAGATGTTTCCCAGTTTTAGAGAGGTTTAAGTGTTAACAGTGTACCAGTGTACCCCTTAGAATCACTGCAGTATGGTACTTCCAATGCAGATGTGTTGCTGACCTATAGAGACGATGCTATCATATTTCTACTTATTTTAAATTCTTTTGTAACTGTCTTGGTATTCAGAAGTGTGTGTTTTCAGAATTTTTCTTTTAAAATTATAGAGAAGAATTGGATATCGATCTAAAGGATATTTACTACAAAATCCGATGTGTTTTGATGCCAATGCCATCACTTGGTTTTAATAGACAAGTGGTGAGAGACAATCCTGACTTTTGGGGTCCTCTGGCTGTTGTTCTTTTCTTTTCCATGATATCATTGTATGGACAGTTTAGGGTAAGTATATTTAATTTGGTACAAATTCTAAGTCTTTGAAGAGTTTCAAAAATTAAATATAGTTGAATATTAACTGTAACACATTATGGAAAATGCCTTACCTCTAATCATTATTTCTCACTTGCTCATCTTTAAAAGTGGTCCATAATTACTAAGTGAGGGGTACTAAGGTAATTAAGGATTAATGCTTTCCAAACTTTTCTACATTGATCATTCACATAGAAAGCATTAAGGCAAGTGGACTACTCACAGCTGACCAGAACTGACCAGTCACCAGAAGTGGCCTTTCTGATTTCCCAAAGGGAGAAGACTTTGAAACGTAACATGTAATACATAATTGTGTTTCTATTTCATTGTCCTAGTCTCAGGGACTATCACAAAACACTACATGGACACATCATACTCTCATATCCTCAGTTAAAGGCTATTGGGGAGGAAAAGAGAACTTCTTAGCACCGTGATTTGGAAGTGAATCTGTTTCATGTTGCTATTAACAGATTACCACAAACCTTAATGGCTTTAAACAGCACACATTTGTGGTACAGAGGTTAAACCTCATGAGCACTAATTTGAGTCCCAGCTACTCCGCTTTTGATCCACCTTCCTGCTAATGTGCCTTGGAAAGCAGCAGGAGGAACCCAGGTATTTGGGAGACCTAGATTGAGTTTCTGGCTTCAGCCATTGCAGACATTTGGGGAATGAGCTAGCAGATGGAAGCTCTCTCTGTAAATCTGCCTTTCAAATAAATAAACTTTTTTTAAAAACCACAGAATTATTCTTTTACAATTCTTGAAGTCTGAAGTCCAAAATGAGTCTTAAAGGACTAAAATCAAAATGTCAGCAGGACTGGTTCCTGTGGAGGCTCCAGGGCAGAATCCATCGCTTGCCTCTTTCACTTCCAGAGGCTGCTGGCGTTTCTTGGCTCCTGACTGCATCCATGCGGTGTCTGTGTCTGTGATCACACTGACTTCTCTTCCACTTATACAAATCTCCATTTTCCTCTCTCTTTTAAGATTAGTTAGTCAGATAATCCAAAATAGCCTCCCCATTGCAAGACCCTTAGCATTTTTATACTAGTCCTATTAGTAGTCACCCTAGATCAGTAGTTTATATCAGTTACTCTGCTGAACACTGTAAAAACCATTGAAAATGAAAGGGGAGTTGGGTCTGCTTCCTAACACCTTCCTTCATGTACAGCATTTGTAGTTTCATCTGTTTTATATAACCTTTCACTTGTCAATGAGTTCTAAGGGGAAAAACAGAAGATTACTATACCCCCATAGACTGGCACTTGGTTTGAGTTTGCTTGATGTTTTCTCATGATTGTACTGGGGCTAGGTATTTTAGGCACGAGTATCACAGAAATATGTTGTACCTTTCTGTGCCTACTAACGGGGGGTACCTGATAAGTTTCATTACTGATTATGATAACAGGATCACATGGTTGGGTGATGGGGTAGAATCTGTATGCTTCTTCTCCACTGTTTTTCTTGTTGACAGTTGTTAATATTGAATTTTCAGTTTGGATATAAGCTTGTATAATATATTGTATTTTTATTAAGTTTTGGAAAGAGCTAAAAACTGCACAACTTCTTCATGATCTGAGTGAGATTCGGAATGTCAGACTATGTTACATGGCAGATAATTGAATTCTTGGAAAATTACTAAGTTATTTGGTATAAAAATATTAATGTCATGAATTTTTTCCCCCAAAGGTGGTCTCATGGATTATAACCATTTGGATATTTGGTTCACTAACAATTTTCTTACTGGCCAGAGTTCTTGGTGGAGAAGTAAGTAGTCAATTTTGAGAATACTCTGTTTTTTATGAATACTATAGATACAATCCTCAGCTATGCTAATTTTTACTCTTTCTTGTCTCAGGATTGCTTTTAAGTTACGCTACTTCCCTTAAGCTCATCATTATGTCAGTATTGTGCTTAATAAATATTACAAGGAAGGACAAGGAGAGAAAAGATCCTGTCCTACTTATCAAGCAATCTGTAAGCTTTTTAAGGAAGAATATGATTTGTTCTGTTACAGCAGTTTTCAAACTTTTGATATCAGGCTGCCAAGAGATTTCTTTTTTAAGATTTTTTTTACTTTTTAAAAAATTTATTTGAGGTGCAGTGAGAAAAAGAGGGACAGCTAGACACAGAGAAAGCTCTCATCTCCTGGTTCACTCCCCGAATGCCTGAAACAGCTAAAACAAGCTGGGCTGAGAAGGCAATCCAGGCGGCAGAAACCAATTACTCAAGTTCTCACTTCTGCCTCCCAGGGTCTGCATTAGCAGGAAGTTGGAGTCAGGAGCCAGAACTGAGACTCAAACCCAGATACTCCAGTGTGGCACATATGTCTTAACCACTAAGCTAAATGCATACCCCAAGATTCTTATTAAGATGTATTTATCGGGGCTGGTGCTGTGGTGCTGGCATCCCATTTGGGCACTGGTTTGAGTCCTGATTGCTCTTCTTCCAGTCTAGCTCTCTGCTGTGGCCTGGGAAAGCAGTAGAAGATGGCCCTAATACTTGGGCCCCTGCACCTATGCAGGAGACCTGGAAAGAAGCACCTGGCTCCTGGTTTCGGTTCAACTCAGCTCGGCCATTGCAGCCATTTGGGGAGTGAACCAGCGGATAGAAGACCTTTCTTTCTGTCTCTCCCTCTCTCTGTCTGGAACTCTACCTCTCAAATAAAAAATAAAATCTTTTTTTTAATGTGTATTTATTTGTCATTTGAAAGGCAGAGTGACAGGGACAGATATGGAGGGAGGGAGAAGGAGAGAGAAACCTTTCATCCACTGATTGACTCTAGATGCCCAGGGTCTTGGGCCAAGCCAAAGACAGGAACCAGAAATTCCGTCCTGTTCTCCCACATGGATAGCCAGGACCCATGTACTTAAGTTGTCATTTGCCTCCCAGTGTGCACATTAGCAGGAAGCTGGATCAGAAGCAGATGTGGGACTCCATCCAGGCACTTTGATATAGGATGATAGGATATGGGTGTCCCAAGCAGTGGCTTGGGCAATTGTACCATAACCCCTGGCCAAGATTTTTTTTTTTAAGATTTTATTTATTTGGGCGAAAGAGAGAACTTCCATCCTCTAGTTCCCTTCCCAAATGGCTGCAGTGGCCAGGGCTGGGCCAGGCAGAAGCCAGGAGCCAGGAGTTTCTTCCATGTCTCCCATGTGGATAGCGAGGCCCAAAACAGTTGAGCCATCTTCTGCTTTCCCAGGCACATTCGCAGGGAGCTGGATTGGAAATGGAGCAGCTGAGATTTGAACTGGTGCCCACATTGGATGCTGGTACTGCAGTTAGTGGCTTTACCCACTGTGCCACACCACTGGCTCCCCACCAGGTTTCTTTATGTAGGTTATATATATTAGTATTTTCTGTTAGAAATTAAAATAATTTTAAATATTTATCTACTGAAGACTATCAATATACCAACTATATTTTTTAAATTAAAAATATTAAAAAAAATTTGAGAGGCAGATAGGCAGAGAGGGACAGGGACAGAGCAGATTGACAGAGAGAGTTACTATCTTCTGGCTCAATCTCCAAATACCCACAACCAGGCTGAGCTAGGAACTAGGAATTCCATATAGGTGTCCCACCTGGGTGACAGGAAACCAACTACTTGGTCCCTCACCAAATGTCTCCCAGTGTGGTATTAGTGAAAACCCAAAGTCAGGAGCAGAGCCAAGACTCAATCAAGGCACTCCCAGATGGGATGCAGACATCTCAAACAACATCATACAGGGGCCAGCATTGTGGCCACAGCCTTGTGGCACAGTCACCTGCAGTGCTGACATCCCATAAGACTAGTTGCTCCACTTCCAACCTAGCTCCCTGCTAATGTGCCTGGAAAAGCAACAGAAGATGGCCAGAGTGCTTGGGCCCCTGCACCCACGTGGGAGACCTGGAAGAAGCTCCTGGCTCCTAGCTTTGGATTGGCCAGTTCTGGCTATCAGTCTTTTGAGGAGAACCAGTGGATGAAAGACTTCTCCCTCTTCTCAGTCTCTCTCTTTCAAATAAAAAAAAAAAAAACTTAAAAAAATTTTTTTTTTATTTGAAAGAGTAACAAAGAGAGATCTTCCATTCACTGATTCACTCCCTAAATAGCTACAACAGCCAGAACTGGGCCAGACCAAAGCCAGGAGCCAGAAGCTTCTTCTGGGTCTCCCATGTGAGTGCAGGAGCCCAAGGATTTGGCGCAGCTACGGCCATCTGGGGAGTGAACCAGCAGATGGAAGACCTCTCTCTCTGTCTCTACCTCTCTCTCTAATGCTGTCTTTCAAATAAATAAAATAAATCTTCAAAAAAAAAAAAAAGGCATAGTTGAGAGGAGAGACATTTTCCATCTGCTGGTTCATTCCCCAAATAGTTGCAGTGGGCAAGATTGGACCATGCTGAATCCAGGAGCCTGGAACTCCGTCTAAGTCTACCATGTGGACAGTAGAGGCCCAAGTACTTGGACCACCACCCACTGCTTTCTGAGGCACATTAGCAGAGATCTGGATTGGAAATGGAGCAGCCGGGACTCAAACCGGCATCCATGTGGAATGCTGGCGTTGTAGCTTAACCCTTTGTGCCACAACACTGGGCCCAGTTGTGATGCATTTAAACCTCCTACCGTTTAACAGAAGTGGTTAAATGTGTAGTGTATTGTAGAGATGCACTGAACGTAATTGGATGTATAATGGCTGAAGTTCAAGAGAGAGAGGACTGGAAATGTAGATTTGAGTATCAGTAAATTGATGGTAGCTGAAACCATGGTCAGAGACTAGATAGTAATTTAAACTGTAATGGGTGAGATTTTACTTCCCACATTTACGAAAGTACAACAAAGAACATATGATGTCCAGTAGTGATTAAAATGAGTATCTTGATTTCTGTGATATTTATTTAAAATTTTTAAAATTCACAGGTTGCATATGGCCAAGTTCTTGGAGTTATAGGATATTCATTGCTTCCTCTCATTGTAATAGCCCCTATACTTTTGGTGGTTGGATCATTTGAAGTTGTGTCTACACTTATAAAAGTAAGTTATGTAGTATGATTCATATAAAGTAGTTTACTATTTTGAAGCAGTAAAAGTCCTGTGGCAAAGAATATTGTCATCAAAAACAGTTGGTAGTATTTTGGAACACTGATTTTTCTAACTGAATTTTGTTATCCTCTTTTAATCACTGATAATTACAAAACAGGTGGGGAAAAACAAAGAGCTCATCAGTTTTCAGGATATTGTAGTCGTACTTTTTTAATGTTGAATTTTTTTTTCTTTGTATATGATGAGTTTAGATTTTATGGCTATTTAATTCCATTATACATTTATTTACTATCTGTTACTCTTGTTTGAATATTATCTTCCTTATCAAATATGGTAGGCATGGTTCTAGTACACTCAATTTTCTTTCTTTTTTTTTTTTTTTTTTTGACAGGCAGAGTGGACAGTGAGAGAGAGAGACAGAGAGAGAAAGGTCTTCCTTTGCCGTTGGTTCACCCTCCAATGGCCGCCGCTGCAGCCGGCGCACCGCGCTGATCCGATGGCAGGAGCCAGGAGCCAGGTGCTTTTCCTGGTCTCCCATGGGGTGCAGGGCCCAAGCACCTGGGCCATCCTCCACTGCACTCCCTGGCCATAGCAGAGAGCTGGCCTGGAAGAGGGGCAACCGGGACAGAATCCGGCGCCCCGACCGGGACTAGAACCCGGTGTGCCGGCGCCGCAAGGTGGAGGATTAGCCTATTGAGCCACGGCGCCGGCCTCAATTTTCTTTCATTCAGAGATCAGGACTTCTTTACATGGTGTTAAGAGTAACATACACACATTTTAAACATTGACTGATACTATTGAGTATTAATAGGAATACAACTTAACTTTCAGTATTAATGTTGAACAACTTCAAGAAATAAATGGGTGTTTTAGCACATACATCTATATTATACCGTGAATGTCTTTTCCTTATGGAAATTGGAACATTTTAAAACCACCACTTGCAGAACTGCTGTTTTGTAGCTTCTGCACTAAATTTTTTTTAAAGATTTATTTTATTTAGTTGAATTAGAGACAGACAGAGAGGTCTCCTATCCGCTGGCTCACTCCCTAAATGGCTGCATTGACTAGCACTGGGCCAGACTGAAGCCAAGAGCCAGGAGTTTCAACTGGGTCTCCCACCAACCAGGACTCGACTGGTGCCCATATGGGATGCCAGCACTGCAGACAGCAGCTTAACCAGTTGTGCCACAGTACTGACCCCTCTGCACTAAATTTGTTTTTAGGTAGCCAGAGCAACTTACTTTTTATGAGATTTTACTTTAAGACTATAATTAATTACAGTAGAGAAGACGTAATGGTTTCTTTTAGAATTTGATCTAACAGGCCGGCGCCGCGGCTCACTAGGCTAATCCTCCGCCTAGCGGCGCCGGCACACCGGGTTCTAGTCCTGGTTGGGGCGCCGGATTCTGTCCCGGTTACCCCTCTTCCAGGCCAGCTCTCTGCTGTGGCCAGGGAGTGCAGTGGAGGATGGCCCAGGTGCTTGGACCCTGCACCCCATGGGAGACCAGGAAAAGCACCTGGCTCCTGGCTCCTGGCTCCTGGCTCCTGGCATTGGATCAGCATGGTGCGCCGGCCGCAGCACGCCGGCCACGGCAGCCATTGGAGGGTGAACCAACGGCAAAGGAAGACCTTTCTCTCTGTCTCTCTCTCTCTCACTGTCCACTCTGCCTGTCAAAAAAAAAAAAAAAATTTTGATCTAACAGCTAATATTGATACCTAAGCATTAATCTTGAAAAGAGTTGAATTTCGAAACCATTTAGTAATGAAATCAAATTTAAAAGTATGCATAATGTCTGGTGTAGTGCTTGGCACAGACTAGACACTCAGCTGGTAGCTGATGTTACAAATATTATAAAAGAATATTTTGAGATGATATTTGTACATGAATACTTCAGAAGTTCAGTTACTGTGCATTACGAAAAAAGTATGCTTAGATTTCCAGAATTTGGAGGGCCAAAATAAACTTCCCTCTTAAATCTGTTTTCTTTGAACTGTTTGAAGAACCTTCTTGTATTTGAACACTTAGGGACAAAGAAGCCTGTGCTTTCTTCTTTGTTCCAACCCTAAAATCTTTTTATTTTTAATTGATAGTATTAGAACTTCACGGAAAAGTTTTACAGTACAGGAACTATCTCATGCTGACCTTTAATTCTTCTAGTCTTACGAATATCATGCCACTTTACTGAATCATTTAGGATTACGTTCTGTTGTGTATTTTCTTAAATTAAACTCGTAGGATTATTTCTGAGTTCATTTCCAAAATTGCTAAAGCCATTGTCCTTTGGTCATTTTTAGTTATAAAGTTCAGCTGAAAGTTGGACCCTAAATTTTTTTTTGCAACATAGGAAAGTATATAAAATAAAAAACTATATCATTAAAAATTCAGAACAAAATTTTTTGTTTTTAAACTTCAGATTGTTCTTTGCCAAAATATTTTCCTATTAACAGTCTTCTATGGGTGGAGAGATATTGTGTGTTTCTTAATTCAGTCGAAAATAATGTGTTGCAATACTCTTCATCACTTAATTCTATCGTTATAGTTTAATCTACAAGCATTGATTTTCTTTAAATCTTTATTACATATCAATTTTTTTAACTTTTATTTAATAAATATAAATTTCCAAAGTACAGCTTATGGGTTACAATGGCTTCCCCGCCCCCATAACTACCCTCCCATCTCCCGCTCCCTCACCCATTGCATTCGCATCAAGATTTCATTTTCAATTTTCTTTATATACAGAAGATCAATTTAGTATATTGATTTCAATTCAAGTTCAGTTCACAATTTCAATTTCAGTTCACAGTTGACCATAATGATAGGTCTAAGAGTCAAAGAAATCACACAAACAAAGACTAGTATCTGCTAATACTAACTGATAGAATTAAAAAGGGAGAGAACGATCCAACATGGGAAGCAGGTTACACAGCAGACTCACAGAATGGCAGATGTCCTAAACAGCACTCTGGCCTCAGAATCAGCCCTGAAGTCATTTGGATCTGGCTGAAGAGCCCAGATCCAGATTTTAGGCATGGAAAGCCAAGACACTCTGGAAAAAAAAAAAAAAAAAACTAAATGAAAGATCTCTGCGAGTGAGATCCCAGCGGAAAGAATGGGCCATCAAAGGAGATACCTTCAGAGGGAAGAGAGAACTTCCACTTTGACTATGACCTTGTCTAAAAAAGATCAGAGTTGGCGAACTCAAGGGGCTTCCATAGCCTTGGCAACTCATGACAAGAGCCTAGGGTGATTACTGACGCCATAAACAAGAGTGTCAATTTGTTAAGTCAACAACAGGAGTCACTGTGCACTTACTCCTCATGTAGGATTTCTGTCCTTAATGTGTTGTACAATGTGAATTAATGCTATAACTAGTACTGAAACAGTATTTTACACTTTGTGTTTCTGTGTGGGTGAAAACTGTTGAAATCTTTATTACATATCAATTTTTCAACCATTTATAATCGAAAAATCTAATTATGACATATATTTCCTTATTTTTTTTGTATGTTTGAATTACTCAATTCTGTAGGTTTTTTAGTTTTTAAGCACAGTAGAAAGTATCCCAACTACATTTTCAGTGTGCCAGTATTTATTTTATTACATGTATACCTGTGCTTTTTCTGAATTTTGCCCCCTAGGGGACATTTGGCATGTCACAGGTGTGGTATGTGTGTGTTGTTTGGGGAGGGAGGGTGGTTACTAACATATAGTGGATACAGAACAAGGATGTTGCTAAACTTCTTACAGTGCGCAGGACAGCACCCCACCACAAAGAGTTCCCAGCTTGAAATTTCAGTATTGCCAGGTTGAGAAACCTTGTTCTGTGCTAGATTGTGTTTCCATAATTCCCTGATTTCTTTCTTAAAAGTTCATGTTTTGGCTTATGCTGTAAAATGCCTTTTTATGACTGTACAAGTAAGTACTATGTAAGTCTCCAGTAAAAATTTTTAAAATTAGGTGTATGTATAATCAGAAAACTAATAGTATATTTTATTTAATTAAACTCTTGACTGAAAAGTGATCTGTTTTTCTCTGTTTCATTTAACTCTGTACTTCTACCTGTTTCTGGGAAAACACTGTGATAATAAACATTGTGTAAAATTTTCACTAGTTCTGTTTCTCTGTTTCTTCAAAAGAAAAAGAAAATTTTCCACTTTGCAGGGATCAGTTTTCTTTCAGCAGTTTGGCTTAGTAATAGTTCTTTCAAAAATTTCCCTACCTTAGTCACCAGGGACCCATGTTTTTGAAAGACTGATCATTGATTTCTTCCTTTAAAAAAATATTTGTGCAGAACTGAATGTAGTCCCTCATGTCTCTTCTTAATTGGCCAGCCAGGTGATTCTTAACGATTAGACAGATTTGATCAGGAAACACCACATTGACAGAAGGAAGGAACAGAGCAAAGATGAACATTCTTACTAAGGATTTATCATTCTTAATAAGTTTTAACACTTCCCACAATTGATGATTGATTTTTTAAAATACTGTGAACATTATTTTTACTCTGTGATATCCAAAAAGTCAATTAATTTGCTAATATGCTGCCTTTTGTCTTTTTTTTTTTTAAGCTGTTTGGTGTGTTTTGGGCTGCCTACAGTGCTGCTTCATTGTTAGTGGGTGAAGAATTCAAGACCAAAAAGCCTCTCTTGATTTATCCAATCTTTTTATTATACATTTATTTTTTGTCCTTATATACTGGGGTGTGAGCCAAGTCATACGTGAGTAGAAAAAGACAAATGTGTGTGTAGGCTGGGAATTCTTGGCCCAAGGGATTGAAGCAAACCTGTTGCTGGTAAAATTTTACATGTTCCAGACATAATGCAGGTTTAAGATCTTTCTACAACTGTTATTTGTGTTTAAGTAATTGCAGTTATCTGGGATGTTTTTGGTCAGAATGCTAAATTCTGTTCGATTCTTCATATTCCAGCAAATAAAATATAAAAGCATTGTGTTTTTAAGATTGTGTCAATATTCACATAAAAACTTGTGCCAAAAGCACCTGGATTGGTAATTATATTTCACATGAAGGGTAAATTTGATAACATCTTGATAACCTAAAAGTGCAATTCTTTTCCTTTAAAAAATTTTCTCCTGCATTGCAGATCCTGTAGATATATATTTATATTTATACATATATATTTATGGAATAATTATTCACAAAATATATTTCTGGATAGCCTAAAAATTAAGATATTTAATCTGATGCTTAAAACTTCATTTAAATTGGATCTTAATCTTGTTTATTTAAAAATTCAAACTTGTTTTTTAAATGGCATATAATTTTAAAAATAGTGGTTGTTGATATAGATTTGGTTTATTTGGATAAACTTTTAAAAACTATTTTTGAATGTCCAGACATTTAATTTAAAGTTTCTGTTAATCTTTCTGACAAAGGGGCAAGAAGTATAATGGATATGACATTTGGTAAAATCATGACTGTTTAGGAACACAAAATATTTATTGCACCAGTAAATATTTTAAGTGGTATTCCTAAATCAGAAAAGTTGTGGGAAAAAACATCTTTAAGATTGTGTGGTCCTGAGCAATGTTACATGAAGTAGAAAATAATAAAATGCTTCCCAGCTGTATGTTTTGTTTTATAACATCTTGTCCTGTATTGCTTGATATTTAAACAAAAATTGGGTACTTCATAACAAATGTACAATTTTTGCTGAGGGAAATATTAAGACATTTTTGTTAGTGACATTTATATTGTGGATAATTTTATAGGTTCTAGATATATTTCTAATTATTACTACTTTGTAAAGTGGATAAAATGTTTTATTTATGCCCATGAACTAGAAAATACCTAATATTAGTAAATTATTCTGTTATCCTTCTGAGCTCACCTGGAAGAGTTAACTGCTATCCTCAATGTGATGACATTGCCATTGCTTGTTGTGTATTTTTTTTTAGCAAATTTACCCGTCAGAAAATATTCAGCACCTCTGAAACAAGCCTACAGATTAGCAAGAGATTAAACCCATCTCTCTTCTATTACCCAAATCCTACCCCTCCAATTAAAAAAAAAAAAAAGATTTAAAGTAAACTGTAGGGAACATGGAGAGCATGGAATAATGTGAGCTGGAATAATGTGGAAAGTTACACATACTGATTTTTTTTAAAACATCCTCAGGGAAACAAATTAGAAGCACCGGAGAAGCAGCATTTGAACTAATATGAAACAGTAAGGAAGGACATTTGTCATACTTGAGAATTCCTGATGTCAGAAATTCCTGATGCTTTGTTACAGCAGATTGTTGTATTCAGCATTCATAGTACTGACCGTGGAATCGAGACCAGGGGATGAAATTTTACTACACTATAAGTCAAGGTTATTGTTGGACCACCTCTGTCAAAAAATGGTTTAATTTTTTTAGCTGTTACTGCTTTTAAGGTATGAATTAAGATTTCAGTTATATGAATCATGTTTATTCTTAATGATACAGTTTAATAAAATGAGGTATTTATGTTCTAAAAAAGGCATTTAAAAATAGCATTTCATATTGGGAATTGCTTTTTATAGGGTATATATAATATTTATAGTATTTCAGTCAACCAGTGTCATTCATGTGATAATCAGTAAAGTAGTTAAAATAGATTGTCAGTTTAAAAACATGATTTTTTCGCTCTACATGAGGTGCAGTGCTGCTAAAATAAGCTGACCATAACAGTGTGCTGTCCTTGAATTTTTGTATACTATTGTTTTCTAAGTCATAATAATTTTAAATCATGATATCCAACATAATTATTAATTCATTAGTATTTTTAAAACAGTGGGCCAGATGTCCGTATGTCCTTTGTCTCTTCTAGTTGAGTATGTGTGCATTAGATGTTGTCAGTTGTAGTGCTCCTAGAGTGGTAATCCTCCAATTAATGTGTTTGCTTCTGTTTCAAATTTGATTATAAAACAATTGAAATTTTGATTAAAAATCGTCTATTTATAGTCAAATATTGTTACAAAGTAGTTTAAGAAGATTTGCAAAATTAAAGTCACTATAAAACCTGCTTTTTTAAAAAAAATTATTTGTTTATTTATTTATTTGAAAGTCAAAGCATCAGGCAGAGAAAGAAGTGGGCAGGGAGAGAGAAGGAGAGATCTTCCATTGTCTGGTTCACTTCCCAAATGGTTGTAACAGCCCAGAAACTCCACCTGGATCTCCCAGGTGGCAGGAGCACAAGCCCTTGGGCCATCATTTGTTGCCTTCCCAGGCACATTAGGGAGAAGCTGGACCAGAAGCAGAGCAGCTGGGACTCCAACCAGCACTGTTATGGGATGCCGATGTTGCAAGAGGCAGCTTAACCCACTGTGCATAATGCTGGCTTCTCCTGCTTTTTTCTAAAGTCAAGACCTTTCTGTATATAATGATGATTCTACTCCCCAAATTCCCCAGATATTAATACAGAGTTCTAAAGTGGTGAAAATTTGCATTGACTTAGTTTGAAATAATTATTTTTAAGTATCTAAAATCTAATCATTTCTTTGAAAATTATTGGTGTAACAAAACACTGAATAAAATGTTTCCATAGTCTAATAAAAACATTTTTCATATACACAGGATTAGTTGATTTTTTTTTTTTTTTTTTTTTTTTTTTTTTTTTTGACAGGCAGAGTGGACAGTGGAGAGAGAGAAAAGGTCTTCCCTTTTGGCCGTTGTTGCCGTGGGTCACCCTCCAATGCCGGCCGGCGCGGCTGCGGGCCGGCGCACCGCGCTGATCCGATGGCAGGAGCCAGGAGCCAGGTGCTTTTCCTGGTCTCCCATGGGGTGCAGGGCCCAAGCACCTGGGCCATCCTCCACTGCACTCCCTGGCCACAGCAGAGGGCTGGCCTGGAAGAGGGGCAACCGGGACAGAATCCGGCTCCCCGACCGGGACTAGAACCCGGTGTGCCGGCGCCGCTAGGCGGAGGATTAGCCTAGTGAGCCGCGGCGCCGGCCAGTTGATTTTTTTTAAAGATTTAGTTATTTATTTGAAAGTCGGAGTTAAATAGAAGAGAGGCGGGGAGAGAGAGATCTTCCATCTGATAGTTTACTCCCCAATTGGCCGCAACAGCTGGAGCTGTGCTGATCTGAAGCCAGGAGCCAGGAGCTTCTTCTGGGTCTCCAACGTGGGTGAAGGGGCCCCAAGGACTTGGGCCATCTTCTACTGTCCTCCCAGGCCACAGCAGAGAGCAGGATGGGAAGTGGAACAGCCAAGTGTCGAACCAGCGCCCACATGGGATGCTGGCACTCCAGGCCAGGGTGTTAACCCAGTGTGCCACAGTGCCGACCCCAAGTTGAATATTTTTACTTTTTGAAACTTTTTTAATTTGAAAGGAGAATGACAGGACAGAGAGATCTTCCATCTGCTGGTTCACTTCCCAAATGGCCACAACAGCCAGGTCCAGGCCAGTGTAATGTGGGTGGTAGTACTTGGGCTATCTTCCACTGCCTTCTCAGGTGCATTAGTAGGAAGCTGGGAATTGAAACAGTGCTCTGATGTGGGATGCAGCGCTCTGATGTGGGATTGAAAGCTGTAGCCTAACCTGCTGTGCCAGAAGATTGGCCCCAGATGAATATTTAAAATTTATATTTTTAATTAATGTACATTTTAGCCAGTTTTATGCTTCAGTAAATTGTGACACTTTGTTTTTCATGCCTCCCATAAAACAAGTCTTAATAGCATTGAAAATCATCCTCAGCAGTTCTCTGCATTGATACTTCATTTATGTAAACAACATAGTATTGTATTATTCTCCATAAATTTTTTAAATTGTATTCTTAGTCCTCATACTGCTTTCCAATTTCCCTTTAAGAATTGAATTACAATTGCTCTATTCTTCATTTGTCTATTTTCTTAGCAGCATTTTACATGTCTGAAAATCTTTTAATAATTTTTTAGTATTTTCCTCAAATATGATTCTGGTCTGAAAAAGTAGATATTCTTATATCTGCACTTCAAATCATCCTTTCTGAAGGAAGTTCTACTTGTGAATATATTTTCTTTATAACATACTAGTGTACATTTTAGACTTTGCCATGTACATACTTTATGATATATGCAGTATTATGAAAAGAAATGATAGGGGCCAGCACCATGGCTTACTTGGTTAATCCACCGCCTGCAGCGCCGGCATCCCATTTGGGCGCCGGGTTCTAGTCGCGGCTGCTCCTCTTCCAGTCCAGCTCTGTGCTGTGGCCCAGGAGTGCAGTGGAGGATGGCCCATGTGCTTGGGCCCCTGCACCCTCATGGGAGACCAGGAAGAAGCACCTGGCTCCTGGCTTCGGATCAGTGCAGTGCTGGGCGTAGCGGCCATTTGGGGAGTGAACCAACCGAAGGAAGACCTTTCTCTCTGTCTATCTCACTGTCTATAACTCTACCTGTCAAAAAAAAAAAAAAAAGATTAAGAGACTATTCCCTATGCAAATAATGTTTTACTAACCTGAAACTTAGATTTCCATTTTGAATATTTTTGGTATGCTGAAGTTAGAATTTGGAAGTAGAGGGGCCAGTGCTGTGGCATAGTAGGTTAAGCCTCCACCTGTGGTGCTGGCATCCTGTTTGGGCATCGGTTCGTTTGCTGACTGTTCCTCTTATCATCCAGTTCTCTGCTTATGGCCTGGGAAAGCAGTGGAAGATGGCCCAAATGCTAGGGCCCCTGCACCCACATGGGAGACCCAGAAGAGGCTCCTGGCTCCTGACTGCTGGCTTTGGATTGGCTGAAATGACCAGGGCTGGGCCAGACCAAACCCAGGAGCCAGGAACTTCTGGGTCTCCTACGTGGGTACAGGAGTCCAAGGACTTGGCCATCCTCTGCTGCTTTCCCAGGTGTTAATAGGAGGGAGCTGGATTGGAAATGCAGCACCTGAGACTCGAACAGGTCCCATATTGGATGCTGGTGCTGCAGCCCATGGCTCTAACCCACTGCTCCACAGCAGCGGCCCCACTACACGTTTTATATAGGTGATAACCTTGACTTCAACTTTGCTTTTTTCACTAGGATGTCTGCAAGCTTATAATTTGAAGGTACAGTTTTACAAGTGTTTTGAGAAAAGCTCCTTAAAGATATCTTCCAAAAAATTCAGTGATACACAAGCCATCACTGAAATTAAGATATTAATATGGAACATATTTTTATGAGATGTTTTAAACTTAACTTGTAATTAATGAAATATAAAGGTTGTTAGTACTTAAGGCAAAGCAAGCATTCCTACCTGTAATAATTTTGTTAAATTAACATTTAAAAGTATAAATGAGACTTAGAATAAAAACCTTGGTTTTTGTATAACAGTTGACACTGAACAATTTTTATTAAGAACTAGACAGCCGGCGCCGCGGCTCACTAGGCTAATCCTCCGCCTAGCGGCGCCGGCACACCGGGTTCTAGTCCCGGTCGGGGCGCCGGATTCTGTCCCGGTTGCCCCTCTTCCAGGCCAGCCCTCTGCTGTGGCCAGGGAGTGCAGTGGAGGATGGCCCAGGTGCTTGGGCCCTGCACCCCATGGGAGACCAGGAAAAGCACCTGGCTCCTGGCTCCTGCCATCGGATCAGCGCGGTGCGCCGGCCGCAGCGCGCTGGCCGCGGCGGCCATTGGAGGGTGAACCAACGGCAAAGGAAGACCTTTCTC